GAATTATATAATGAACACATCACAACCATATTTTGGCCAAAACTGAATACATAGCACTGGGCATAACACAAAGGAGTGTGTTAATCAAAACCTATGCCAAACATCATAAGGTTTTGCATCTTTAGCAGCAAAACATTAGAATACATTATGAAGAAGGAGGCAAATGGAAACTGGTTCTTCTGCTTATTTGCAAGTATTCTATAAAACATCCATTACACTTTATATGAGTTCCCTGCAGTAAATTTTTGTCATAATGACAGTTTGCTAGCAGTACATTGGGAATTGAGAGCTCTGTGAAACCTTCCCATTTATTTCTGCATCCCAAAAAATGGTCTTTAGGAATCTCTGGTTCTAAATGACAATATATTACCAATGATAAGCTTTCCAGTTGGATCCAGAGAGAAAGCTGGAAGGAACTGGGTAGACAGAGCCCAGCACTGGGGAAATGCAAAGAGATAAACAGAGGATACATTTCAGGAACCAGCTGTCCCACAGGTCAAATCTCAGGCAAATTCAGAAGTAACAGTAGAAAGAAAAATCTACTGGAAACTACTTCAGATTTATACAAGTGGGAATGATTCTATCTTACACCAGCAACTGTGTGTTTGACAGTTTATCTGACACCACCACCCACCAGCAGCTTGGCATGCTGTCAAAACAAATAGAGCAGTATACAACATAAGTTGTGCTGCCATGATAGCCAGCAAGGAAAATCTGCATTTCCTCATTATTGTCTTTCACTCAGAGAATGCAGCCAAGGCGTAGGTAGCTCTAGTGGTAAAGTTGTCCATCACACACTGTGGAGATGGAGATGCCAACACAGAGTTCTTTCCCACGGAGAGGGGAAAAAAAAGTTTTAATAATCTATCATATGTTTTATTTCAATATAAAGACTAATCACTACTATTTTTACATCCCAGATTTTCCTACAATTTGTGGCCCTTGGACTCCTCTGTAAGTGCAATAGAAAACAGTTCTGTTTGCTGGTCGGAAAAATCTAAGCAATCATTTTGTATAACCATGCAATCTCCTTGTTTCTAGATAAGAATAAACGTCTTTTTATGTGGCAATAATAACTATCCGTGTCATAGAATTATAATCTTAAGCGTAAGTTTCAATTACGCCTGTTTTTCCCTTGTGCTTTGTACTTGTAACATGCTGTACCGAAATTTCTTCCAAAAGATATTAGCATACAAGTTTTCTTGGACTTGCCTGCTTCTGGACACACTTCTCCATATCTGAGGCCTCTCTGGTTTGCATTATGTAGACAAACATTATTAATTCTCCATGACATCTCTTGATAAACTTGGCTTCCGTGCAAGGTGAGGTTGGCACATGAATCCACCCCAAACTTCCCACAGAAAAAAGCTGGAGTATTTTGCTTACACCCTTTCCTTTTGACAAATTTGGAGCTCTTTCAGCTTGGATTTTCAGGGTGTGTTTATCAAGCTGATTCTTTTCTGCTGGAAAATCTTGGTCAAAATTGACTGGCTATTTCTAAACATCTAGGGCAAAAAGTATTCTTTGATTCTGAAAACTTGTGGGTTTTTTATTTTTTTTAGTCTGGATTTGGAAGTTCTAGCAGCAACTTGAAATTTGGCAAAGAAGTAGCCTTTGAGTCAACAGCACATTTTGTCATCCATGTGAAAACATGCCCTGATAAGGTCAGTTAGAAAGTTTTGAGAAATTACAGGTCACACATAGGCAGCAGCCATTTTCCAGAACTGACAAGCTGAAATATATGAGGTTTAAGTCAAAACTCTGAGCACTTGGTGCTGTCCAGTTGTTAATGAGCAGTCCCCAAGTAGTGGCTGAGCATCCAGGCCCTCCTTACAACCCATCTTGTGTCTCAGAGTACCTGAGCATGCTGTATCCAAGGGCTATGGAGCCAAAATCTGAATCTCCTGTAATTGTGGCCTTAACTTGCAGAGAAGTAATGTAGCTGGGATGAGGACAGTGTGTTGGGAAAGGTATGGCAATGATATGCTGCATAAAAGGGACAACTTCTGGAAGCTGTCAATACAGTAGTTAGTCCACAACAACTCCAACAAGTGTCCTCACCCTTAAACCAGGCAGCAGAGGACTCTGGTGGGATGTCAGGGTTATGATCCTGACAATTAATCATACACACATCCATGACACATCATGTGCCTTCAGCTTGCTGTGTTTCAACAAATGATGGAATAGCATGGCCTAGACCAAAATGCACAAGTAAAAGGTCAAAATCAATCCAAATCAGCACACACTCTTCAGTTCAGTAGGAAACCCCATAAATAGGAAATGGGAGCAATATTCAAGGCATATAAACAAAAACTCCCTGTGGGTATGGGCAAAGTCTTTAACTTCAGGCATCAGTTTATTTATTATGCTTTGGAATAAAATGCTATAATTAATATTAACTGTATTACACGGGACATTATCTATTAAGAGTGACATAATAAATGTGGATGAGGCTTTTACTGGCCACAATCCACATTTTTAACATGCAAGTCTGTGTGAAAAGAGGAATCTAGCCCAGGCTCTGCAGATCCCTCTCTGTAGGGGTCCAAACACACTTGCTGATGAAGTTTTGACAGTTTGAACATTATTCCATGGGGTACAGCAGGAAAATCTCAGCAGTAGAGGCCACCAGAACTGAGTTCTTCTTCCAAGAGGTTCCCCACTGATCATCACTCTTTGCAGAAGCTCCCTCCATCCCTAGATTGCAGCTTCCTACAGGCAGAGTCAGTTCTGTGTCCCTGGGAATGACCACGTACAGACGTGTGGATACACAGGCCAGGAGCAGGGATGAGAAGAGTGTGTTAGGCTGTTCAGAAATTGGCCTTCAGGACCATGCTTTGCTTTTAGGAATAGGTAACTCTAGATGTGCCAGTCAGGATTTGAGCTTAATTTCATAAATACTGTACAAATATTTTTAAAAGTCATAACCTCACCACTGGGAAGCTCACACTTAATATAACAAGCACCCTGCTTGTATCTCATACACATCTCTATTTCTAGTAAATAATTAGTTTATTCCAAAGTTTCCCATCCTTTCTTGCAAGCACCAGGTAATGAGTATTTAAATACAGAAGAAGGAAAGAAGAGAGATGAGTCAACTGCAAATTTAACTTCAGAGACAGAAACAGCAAGTCAAGATTGGAGTCAGAGAGATGTTGAGAGGAAATCCTGTCCAGATTGGAGCATGTTTTACTAGGTATCCCACCAGAAGCAAAATTCTAGATACAGATTCCTTTTTTTTTTTTTAAGACCAGAAAGCAGCACTGTCTAACCTCTTGCAGAAGTGAGGCATAGGTGTATTGGCACATGAATGGTAGTGACAGAGAAGCTGTGCAAAAGCAAAACAGACCATGTCTGTTATAATCCTCACCTATGAATGTCATTGTAGAGCAAAGATGGATTAATTATTAAATAAGGTATTTATTGTCTATTTTTCAAAGGCTGCTTTCTTAAAACGATGCCTGTTCTAATTCATAACAAGCAAACACCAATGTCTGTGCCACTGACAATGGGTTTCCATTGACATGAAAAATGTTCCTGTACCCCATGAGTGCTGTGACGTGTTTATTTGTCTTCCTTATGCCACTGACAAATTTTCAGGGACTGTGAAAATGCCTTGAAATTTCCTGCTTGGCTCCATTTCAGTCCCCACACCAGGTTTTGATCCAAGGCATAAGTGTTCTGAAGCAGCTTACTGATTCTTGTGCTAGTGAGGCAAAATACCACTTAGAAATGCTTGATGCATTTTCCAAAACAATGCAAAAGGCTGGAAAGCTGGAGGAGTAAGGCACCCTGAAGGGAATGAGAGCTTCTCAGAGCCCTAAAACACCATATCAAGATGACATTGCCATCAGCTGCACACAGAATGGGTGGTAATTCCCTAAGGACACGCTGTGCATTACAGGAACCTTAAGGATGAAGACCAAATGTCTCTTTCTAGCAGGAAAATTACCAGGCATCTGGTAAAACTAAAAAGCAAGAAAATCTAGGTCCAAACTTTTTCCTTCTGTTCGGTGATACTACAGATTATTTGCACAATCACATACTCACAAATAATTATTTAAACAATTGCCATTCTTTTAGTAAATGAAATAATGTAATTAAGTAAACCATTTGCTGTTTCACACACTAATTCCCTGCAGATTAAGGAAAGGAAAGCCTCTGACTCCTTCACAATAGTAATAAAACCTAACTTTACCTACAGCAATAATGGCTGTAGTAGAGCTGAAGTCACACAGTCACAAAACTCACCTTTTCTGAATCATTAGTGAAGCAAGGACTGTCTGAAAACTGAAACCTGGCTGATGCTGCCAACACAGTATTGATCTGACAGAGAAACTAAATATGGATTTTTCTCCAACATAAAAACATTCTTATATTAGGTATCATAAGAATAATTAATTATTGCAAAATAATTAATAAAGCAAAGGATGAGGGGCCACCATGCACTTGCTAGTGTCAAAGTAGATCTGAAGAGTATTTTGGGAAGTGGTGCCTAGTAAAGTCTGAGGAGGGAATTGGGCTGCCTGTAATTGGCACAGCTCTTTTCACAGCGACAAACCCCAGATATTCCCCGATGTTTTTCTGCAGTATTTATCAAAACACCTGTCAGCTCAGCAAGAGCAACCTGAAAAACCCTCAGTGTCAAAATGCAATCTATCTCGGGACGCAACAACCCCAGCCTGTATCCCTGCATTCTCCCGCACCTGTGGACCCCTGCAAAGTCAGTTTTCCTACAGACTCCCTCCGGGTGAGCACGAAGTACAAACCAACGCAACGAGCAGCAATTTCGCCCTAAAACAGCTATTTGGATCATTTCCCCCTTTCTTTTCCCCAAGCGCACCTGAAGCCCCTGGAGACCTGACACTCGTTATCCATCGTTATCCATCGTTATCCATCGCCATCCCCGCCGCCCCCAGATCCCCTGCACCGGTGGCGCAGGACGCGCTCCGGGACCGCGCCCGCGGGGAGGGCCGGCGGGTGATCCCCCCGAGACCCACCTGAGATGCCGCCCCCGATCACGACCACGTCGTATTTCTGTGCCATGGCTCTTTCCCCACGGTCCCTCTCCCAGCTCCGGTGGTGGCGGCGGCTCCGTCCGGGCTCCGGTGCCGGGATCGGGACAGCGCCGTCCCGCCCGCCCCGGTCACGCCCCTGGGCGGGGCCAGGCGGCACATCCACCAATGGGAGCGGTCAGAGGGCGGGGTCTCGCCTGGCCAGGCCCCGCCCCCGGTCCGGCCCGACGGGGTGGGAGCGGGACTGGGAGTGCTCGGGGGGGACCGGGAATGTTTCATCCCATGGGCACGGCTCGGACCGGCTAGGTGTTGCACCAGTCCAAGAGGTTTAAACAAGAACAAGTGGCGGGTCCCGCACTTCGGCCACAACAACCCCGTGCAGCGCTACAGGCTGGGGACACAGTGGCTGGACAGCGGCCAGGCAGAAAGGGACCTGGGGGTTCTGTTTGACAGGAAGATGAACATGGAATCCTGGCCTATATCAGGAATAGTGTGGCCAGCAACGCTAGGGAAGTGATTCTTCCCCTGTATTTGGCACTGGTGAGGCTGCACCTCGAGTGCTGTGTCCAGTTCTGGGCCCCTCAATTCAGGAAGGACATTGAGATACTGGAGCATGTCCAAAGAAGGGCAAAAAGGCTGGCGAAGGGATTGGAGCACAAGTCCTATGAGGAGCGGCTGAGGGAGCTGGGAGTGTTCAGCCTGGAGAAAAGGAGGCTCAGGGGAGACCTCATCACTCTCTGCAACTCCCTGACAGGAGAGTGTAGCCAGGTGGGTATCACTCTCTTCTCCCAGGCAGCCAGCAATAGGACAAGAGGACACAGTCTTAAGCTGAGCTAGAGGAGGTTTAGGTTGGACATTAGGAAGAAGTTCTTCACAGAAGGAGTGATTGGGCATTGGAATGGGCTGCCCAGGGAGGTGGTAGAGTCACTGTCCCTGGAGGTGTTTAAGGAAAGACTGGTTGTGTCACTAAGTGCCATGGTCTAGTAGACAAGGTGGTTTTAGGTCAAAGGCTGGACTTGATGATCTCAGAGATCTTTTTCAACCTAATAGATTCTGTGATTCAGGAGGGATGGCAGCAGGCAGGCGGCAGCATGCTTGTTGCAGGATGCAGCACATGGAACAGCCTGTGCTCGCTTAACCCCATGTTAGTAACTCACAGTGAGTGTGGGAGAGGAGGAAATCTATAGAGCCGGAGGTTACAGCAGCATACAATCCTCATCTGCTCCTAGAATCAAACTGTGCTCCATCCATGAGCCAGGGAATTAAGGGTTAACCTCTCCATGAAAGTGTCTTCCCAAAGACAATGCCTGAAGTAATAACTGGTTGTCAAAATTCATAGTAGTTAGTCCTTAGCTACTATTCCTGCCCTGGAATACCTGATGGTTGTGATTTTTTTTTCCATGCATTTTACAGCTTGTACGGTTTTATTGATAAAGTGCAAATGTCATTTCTGTGAAGTGAGAAAAAAGAGAGAGAGCCTGTCCATCCATCCCCTTCCAAGTAAGCACAGAAGACCTTTAAAATTCACACAATTACAGAAAATTCTAATGCTGTTTCATGTTAAATATTGATATAAGTTTTGAGTTGCCCGATTCTGCAGTCATATTCCATTCCTGTGTATGACCAAAGAATCAAATGAGACTGCAATACTAAATTGTGCCAAATGAGTGAGATGTAGACCTGTTGGAGTGAATCCAGAGGAGGGCTACGAAAAAGGTCTGGAGCACCTCTACTATGAAGATATTTTGAAAGAGTTCTGTTTGTTCAGCCTGAAGAGAAGACTCCAGAGAGACCTTATTGAGGTCTTTGAGCATTTAAAGGGGGACTATGAGAAAGATGAGGACAGAATTTTTAGCAGGGCCTGTTATGATAGGACAGGAGTAATGGTTTTAAAGTAAAAGAGAGCTGATTTGGGTTAGATACAAGGAAGAAATTTTTTACAATGAGAGTAGTGAAACGCTGCATCAGGTTGCCCAGAGAGGTAAGGGATGCCCCATCCCTGCAAACATTCAGGGTCAGATTGCTCCGAGCAACATGGTCTAGCTGAAAATGTCCCTGCTCATTGCAGGGGGGGAGGACTGGGTGAATTTTAAAGGTCCTTTTCAACCCAAACCATTCTATGATTTCTGACAGCAGTGACTAAATGCAGAAACATCTATAAAATCACTAAGCAACAGTACAAGAGACAGAATAATGGATCTTCTAAGAACAGGTACTTTACAAAGTAAATGTGCAGAGCTAAGTAAGTGTGTTGCAAGAGCTGCAAACGCAGAAGTGCCAGACACTGTACCAAGTAAGAACAACACAATCCCTGCTGCTCTGAGAGTTCATCTGCTGACACAGAAGCTCATTATCACTAAGATTGCTACAGCTCCCAAGCCAGAGCAAAGTGAGCAAAAAGGGGACAGAACAAGACTGTGAGAGCGGTATATGTTCTGAAACAGAAAATGTAACATACCAACAGCTGTTTGTGCTTACTGGGGAAAGAAAAGTCTTTGTTTCTTGTGGGTGATATGAATACCCACTCCCACAGCTCTGCTGGCTCCAGTGAGAAGGTCACGGGGAGTCTGACGAATAAAAAGCTCCACCAAAGGACGCCTCCCTCAGAATCTAGAAGCCAAGTTTGGAGGAAAGCAGCAAAAACATCCTTTGTGATAACAACAGGAAACTTGTGTGTATCTAGATAACTTGCTGACAGATAAGCCTGCCAGCAAATCTCTAATGCTAAAAGGAGCCATAACAGTCTTGGTAAAGAGCAATGGAGGTTGAAATGGTTTTACCCAGAGCAGCTCTAATGACGAGAGATGATATAAAAGTGTGAATTGTACACATTGTTGCTGGCTCAACCCTTGGAGTAAGGAATGAAAAAAATTCCTAGGAGGTTACCAAGGTTTGGCAGAGGTAACAGTGGCTGTCAGAACTGCGTAACTGCTTAGTCCTTGGCGTCTGTATGAAACAAATAAGAGACCTCAGAATAATTGTACTTCAACTCACACAGACCTGCAGACATCTAGGATTTGGAAAAACAAAACCAAAACCAAAACAAGGAGATGATGAAGCTTGGCTTGAAAGCAGCAGGATGAGCCCAATTGATTTGCTGAAAATACAAGAAGCCTGGAAGGAAGAAGATGATTTGTTGTATTGAGAGTGATTCTCCTTTCCTAAATGTGATGACCATGCTTTCAAAGAGAAATTTGAAAGTTCTCAGAGATCAGCAGAAAATAAAGGGATGGCAAACTTTACAGTAAGGGAAATCTTGTTCCAAGCACATAAAATATTATTTGAAAATATGTCAATTTTTGCTCAGAACAGAGAGTTGAATAGTAAGGAAGTGCTCGTTAATGAGCCCTTTTCGTTATGCACTATAAAAACCAGGGAACAACACAGAAGGGAGAACATGGAAGCTTCTGTTGCTGAAACCATTTCCTAGCAATCTCTCTAGTTGATTTAAGTCACTTCAGTGAGTGAGTTGTAGCAATAATTGCTGAGCTTGCAGAATGTTCATGATCATTAATGTGAAGGTATAGAAAGTCACAGGACTGACACAGACTTTCAAATTTACCGGGGAGAAAACACTGAAAGTTGCTGAGAAATACAGGGGAATACCCAGAGAAAGGATTTCACTAGATATCACAGCCATGTCAGCAACAACAAAAATTGTCAGGTAGCTCCAAGAATGGACAAAAATGGTTCAATATACTGATCAAAGAACATGAAGAAAATATCCAAAGGTAAAAGTGGCATCACCAAGTCCTTTGTTATACTACAATTGTTTTGCTTTTAGTTTTGCCAGCTACTGATGTCAGTCAAACTTCTCAGGTCATGCCATCAGGAGTCACAGTTACATGTTTTATTTTATTTCTGCTTGGTAGCTCAAATGATGAGTTAATTCAGTCATAATCATTGCCAAAGACACATATGTTTTTCATTCCCTCCTGATTTCACTGTTACTTATTTTGCTGATGCATTTGAAAATTGGAACACAAATGAAGGAAAAATCCCTAACATTAAAATAAAATGCTTTTATAAAAATAAAAAATATTATCTGTTGTACATACATGTATGTACACACATTTAAATACATGTGTACATACATGTACATACTGTATGCAGCACAGACTTTTTAGTTATTTATTTGTTTTACGAATGTATTTTGAGAGGTAAATAGAACCTAATTTCTGTAAGGCAAGAATGCATTATCACTAGAAGACTGATTGTAATTTTTAAGGTCATAATTACCATCACTTAGCCACATCTAAAGTCACATAATTCTTGTATCTTAATGATATCAACAGAGCTTCTCTAAAATACTGTAGAACATGTCATCTTGAGTGTTCCTGTCAGCTGAAATTTTTGCCATTAACTCGTCATCTGTGTTGATTAGCACTCCACTCTGCAGGCACAAAGATGAGCTTTCCAGAGAGTACTGGAGCCTTTTGCAAGGCTTGAATCACATAAATTTACTTTTGCACACATTTTAATTCTCGTAATTATATGGTTACAACTCTGGGTTGCATCAAGCTGAAATATGAAAAACTGTGAAAAACAACCCAAACTCTCCCAGATATCAGACTCAGTAGTTCATTTGTGAGGCAGTCCATTTGTGGGGCAACAGTGTACATGGTATAGACTAATTTCAAACCTCAACTGTAGGTGATACTGTATTTTCTAAGAACAATTTTCTATTTTGTAATAGTATCTTTGACTATCTAAGGCTGAATTTAGGGTCAACAGTTAATTTACACTGCTAATGGTGGTTTCCCCCTCCTTCCCCCCTCCCTGCCCATGGGTTTATCAATAATGGAAATGATAAAATACCATGTAGCACATGGAAATAGACAATGTTGCACATCATAAGTAGGAAAAAAAGGGAAACTTACTATAAAATGTTTCAGGCTTCAGAGAGCTTTCCTCTGAAACAAATTCCAAACAACCAAAGCCAGATCAAAGCATCTCTAAGGGTTACATGAAAGAGGAAAGAGAGAAAACACATATTCCCACGCAGCAAGGAAGGGGGGGGTCCAACCTCCTGCCCAAAGCAGATCCAGGACTTCTCTAGCTTGAATGCATTGGAAGATGGAATTTCCATATCCTCTGTGAGCTTCAGGGTCT